GCTGCTGAGGAAAACTCTGTATTTTCTTCATTAAGGCTTGTGCAAAGTTACTCTGCTTTTGTGGGTTCCTGCTCCTTTTTAACTTGTGAGCCTCGAGGCGAGCCTGTCCCAGTGCCATTGCTGGCGGCGCCCAGGCCTTTCGCATGAGACTGATCTTCAGTGAGAAGTCAGGCACCTCGAGCCTTGTCAAGGCAATGTGAAATAAAACATCCAAATCCTGAAGGGAGATGATAAAAGGGGACAACGTGACTAAAGGCATAAAGAGAGAAGAGGAGATGTGTTCCTCTTGCCAGCTCCATTAAAATGATCACAATGTGTCCTTTGGGCTTTTGTATCTGAAAGGAAAGGCTGTGGTAGAAGTTTTGCCTGCAGGAGATTTCCTGGCAGTAGATCAGCATCGTCTATCCAGAGTCACTGATGGCGATCTTGAATTTAAAGGACTAGGTGTTGCTGCAATCCACCCTGGCACTGACTGTGCTTACCGGCGGCAGCAAGAGGACAATTAAGTGGTGATAGGAGACAAACTCCATTTCTGCTTGGAAATTGCAGCTCATCCACCTTCAAGGTGGCATCTACTGTCAGGATGATAGAACAGGGGTTATGTTGATGGGTTGGCTTAGCAAGTTCAAGTGTAGGAACAGAGGGGTTGGGTCAAAAGTGACTTCAGGTTGATTTTGGCCTCCTCACAGTCTCTTGTCATGGAGACACTCATCCCAGCTGCAAAGCACTAGAAGTTATTTCTCATTTATTTCCCTGTAGGAAGATACACAATGCTCTTTGAACGCAGCTGTGTGCTGGAAGCCCATCTCAGCCTGTCCCTGCAGTGGGGACCGAGCAGGGATAGTGGTTCTTACACCAGCTCTGTGCCATTTTGAAATAGGGCTAGTGATGGGGTTAATTTTAGGGACTTTTCCTTCCCACCTTGTTCCTTGATGCCATAGTGGCCTCAAACGGCCCTGGCACAGCTGAGACTGCTCCACGCTGCCCGTGGCTGTCATCTTCTCATGTACTCATGCGTCTTGTGCTCGTGGGACAGGCGACTCACAAACTTCTGTTTCCTCAGGTGATGAAGACCTACCACATGTATCATGCAGAAAGCATCAGCGCTGAGAGCAAGCTGAAGGAGGCAGAGAAGCAGGAGGAAAAGCAGTTCAACAAGTCAGGGGACATCAGCGTGAACCTGCTGCGGCACGAGGACAGGCCTCAGCGGCGGAGCTCCGTCAAGAAGATTGAGAAGATGAAGGAGAAGGTGAGTGAGAGGGAAGGATGGGGGAGCCAGGCTGGAGTCGGGGCTCCCTGCGGGCAGGAGGGTTTGGCTCCAGCCTTGCCCGTTTCTGTGCAGCCATTCCTATATCCCTGGGAAGGGGTTAGGGAAGATGTCGCCTCGTGTTTTGCTGAAGGGCAGTCAGAGGAGGCCATAATGGGTCTCTTTACTACTTCCTGGCTGTGGAGAAGTGCCAAAACCAGCCGGTAGCAAGGATTTGACCCGAAGTCGGGCTGGCACCGCGCAGCAAGAAACAGGGATGGTGGTCATGGGGCAGTGCAGCCTTGGAGGGGGTGGCGGACCTGCATGGGAGCCACATGGCCACCCGTGACATCTTCCAGGCTGGCTCTCTGAAGGGAGGGCAGAGAAGGGTGGATAGAGGGCCCTTGGAGTCTGACAGCTCCGAGAGAACACAGCAGAGACGGGCGATGGGAGGTGCTCGCACACCAGCTGCTTGGGCTGGGGCCCGTGGCTCTCGCTGGGGCCTTGACCGTGCCCCGGCTGGGACCCGAGAGGCTGCGCTGACACCAAGGAGAGCAGTGCACTGGTGTGCCTGGCTTGGCACGGTGATGCTTTCTGATCCAGACACAGGATGCTGCTACGGGGGGCCGTGGTTTGTTCATGGCTTATTTTTAAAAACAGCGCTTCTAACAATGAACAACAGCTGTCCCAGGGTTCCTTCAGTCAGAGGCTTGGGGGAGCAAAAAAAGGGTTGGGTATATAAAATAACCGTGTTTCTTCCTCCGCAGACTGTCTGGGAGTTGAAGTGCAGCATTCAGTTGGCTTTGCTCGTCAAAACACTTCACTCCAGCTTCAGCAAATCCCCCCAGATCTCAGGATCTCTAAAACTGTTTAAATTTTCTGTTAATTTCTGAGAAAAAGCAATAGCTTCCCTAGCCAGGAAGCTTTTGCATGCGTGTTGACCCAGCACTGGGACATTGTCTAGTGGCAAACCTCTTTGAAGGGTTAATCTTTTGTGCTAAACCTTCAGACTGGTGATCTGCCTGAGCAACTGCCCCAGATCTGAGCACATCTGCTTTCCTACAGAGTTTTGAATTCTGGGTCCTGTTCTAAATTTTGTAGCTTGGGCCTCTGGGCAAGATTCCACTTTGATACAGCTGCATAAATCTGGAGCAAGTCCAAATGTATGTCAGCGTATCTAGGAGGAAAATTTGGCCCTCTAATTTTGATTGATGCCAACGCCTCCACGAATGCACGGACAAAGGAGGAGCAGCTGTGCTCGGGATGCACTAGGTACATCTGAGCAGAATGCGCTCGTTATGCGTTGGCTGACGGTACCAGGGATCTTCAGATGTGATCTCCTCTATCCTGGCAAGGGTGCCTGTTTTCATACGCGATACAAAATTTTATTAATTAACGCGTCACACCCAGGCTGCAGGGTGCTGTGGGGCCCTGCAGCAAGAGAAGCTGTGAAAGTAGAATCCTATTTGTGCTCTGACGCTCCATTTTGCTTTTTTAGAGACAAGCCAAATATTCTGAGAACAAGCTGAAGTGCACTAAAGCCGGGAACGACTCGCTGCTGACCCTGGCAGCCACCAATGCAGCTGTCAGTAAATACTACATCCACGACGTCTCTGACCTCATTGATGTAAGTGCTTCCTCCCCCTGCATGCATCCTGCCTGTTTTCTACTGATAAGTGCAGAGCTACATGGTTTGGCCCTTAAATGCTCTCTCATGTGGTGGTAATGAAAGGGGTATTTGTTGGGGCTTTAAAATATGCTTAACTGGGGCCTGAAAATGTGCTGTAAATCTGGATTTTTTTTTTTTTTTCCCCTGTGGTGTTTTTTTTCCTCCCAGCTGCACACATGCATTTGACTTTCCTACCAGTTGATGTAGGCATGATGAGCAGAGCTAGAGCTGCCATTATATGGGAATCATAGAATGCTGTGGGTTGGAAGGGAACTTTAAAGATCATTTAGTTCCAATCCCCCGTGCCATGGGCAGGGACATCTTTCACTGGACCAGGTTGCTCAAAGCTCCATCCAACCTGACCTTAAACACTTTCAGGGATGGGGCATCCAAAACGTCTCTGGGCAGCACCCAGAACTGGCTCCTCTGAACTTTATGGTGGCCATATGATCACAGAACAAAGTAATTGATTCATATTTATGCTACATATAAACTTCTGTCATCAGCGTCTGGAAAAAAAAATCTGGGAGTTTTTCATTATAACTGCAGGGTATGAACCAGCCTGAACCAAACACTTTCCTGAGCGCATAAGCAGGGGAGTCCGGATTGAACTGCATGGTTCAGGCATGTCTAATATACAGTTACAAACTAGAAATTGCTTGAATGTTTTTTGCGCCTTTCACACTGTATCACAAGCATGCTAAGGTCTGGTTGTCGGTGGATGTTGGCTCTGCCTTCAGAACTGCACAGATGTGGTGCTTTCCTTCACATTAAAGCAACGGCTTCATCTGCTGTGGCTCCCACACAGCAGGATGTCCTCCAGCTGGAGCTTTTCAAAGTCCAGAGCCTTTGGAGGAGAATTTGCCTTGGGGCAAGCCAGGTGAGCCTGAGGTTTCCTCCTGGCCCATTGATTAGTCTGTGTTTGAAACAAATGAACTCTTACGAAGATCAGATACGTCCTCATTTTTGTTGTTGAAACAGAAGATTTTTCTTTCTACTACATGCATCTGCAGTTTCTATCAGTAGAGCAGGCACTTAGCTCTCCTCAACTTTGATGGCAGTTAAGCGCACACAGGCAGTTAAGCACATGTGGAAGTGCTTTCCTAGCTAGGGAAGGCGCTTGCTGAGTTGTATCTGAAGCGCTCATTGCACAGAATAGCCTCAGGGCAGGAACTGCTGGAAGCAGGTTTTCTAGCGATGGAGGAATTGGACACGTGTGTGTATCAGTGACTCCTACGAACTGCTTTTAAATGATTCAAGAGAAGGGATTTCCATTTCTTCCTTTAATAGGCATCTTCACAGCGGTATAGATTGCACTATGCAGAGTTTCTTCCTGCTAGAGTTGCTTCAATGAGCACATAAATAACTGATCTATAAGTACTGAGTTAGTCTTTTGGCTTCATCATTACCTAAATGTATAATTTTAAAATGTGCTGGAGTGTTTATCTCCTTTACTAACCCACTAACATATATTTATTCTTCTAAGCCTTAATTAAAGTAAGTCTGATGCAAAACCCCTGATGATTTCAAGATTTTGAGATACAATAAAATGTTCTTAGTATGTCCTTTTTGTTCTCTTTACTACTTAAGATGTATTAAGCCATATTAAAAAAACTAATAATTTGATCATGGAGACATTTGAACAGCAAAGTATGATAACACCTTGATTTATCTGTGGGGTTTCTGCTTTTCGTTGTGTATATTCTCTCTCTTATTTATTTATTTTTTAAGCAAGAATGACTTCTTTTCATGGAGTTTTGGGAACTTACATTTCCTGGGGAGCTGCTGAGTTCCATTTTAGTTCTGGCTGTTTATATTATTCCTCCCAACTTTATTTCCTTGCTGACGCGTTCACTGGAGTCAGCAGATGGCTTTTCTTCCGCACTCCAGGAATCCCTTCAGGGGACTTTAACTAAAGCATCCTCAACTCTGCGCAGCTAAATTCCCCTAATTATGTATTCTGTTCACCAAAGAAAACAAAATATCGGATGTGTGAGCTGCACATGAGTGTCCTAATTTTAGATCCCCAAAGGAAGGGTAGTTTATTTGAACAGACTTTTGTACATATTCAATATATTTTGCAAGAGCATGGCAAGAAGGGTTTCAGCACGCTCCAGAAGAAGGGGATCCCATTCCCTGCGTTCCACTAGTACTGAAAGTGGTGGAAAGAAATTACAGCCATCGGATCCAACAGCATTGGGCTTTCTGTAGGTGTGTAATCCATGTTAAAGGAAAATGAAGAAAGCAGATACTTTTAGATGTAGTTATAAAGTTAGTGTTTTAATCTTAGTACATTCAACAGCGATAAGAAGACGGTGCCTTGTACTCTCAGGAACGACAGTGCCATTTGCAAACGCCAGGTCTGTACCATGGCAGTATGCAGGTCACGGGTCCTCTGCGCCTTGGGGCAGCCCTGCTGTTTCATGGGACACAGCAGAGGGGCTCTGAGCAGAGACGGTGAATTTTGCCTTTGATCGAGAGCCAGCAGAGCCCTTGGCTGCAGCAGCGTGAGCAGAGCAGGGCAAGGCAGGACCCTGGGTGTCTGTGCAGGGGGGAGCTGTGCCCAACGGGAGGAGCAGGTCTGCAGGAAGAGAAAGAGTGCACAGGAGCTTTATGGTTGGAACAGAGTTTTGATTTAGCTCCAAACCTGGCTGGCCATGCTTTAATAGGATCCTAGCAGTGTCCGTGTATTGCAGTTATGCAGATTCTCCCAGCTCCTCCACCCTGCGTCACTAAGGGGGATGATTAACGATGTGCCGGGCTGTCTTTCCAGGACATAGGAGGGGTGATGGGGGCCTCTCGTACACCCTTCCTATCAAGCAGAAATTGCCATGTGCAGTTTTTTGATTTGTACGCAAATCTGAACCGTCAGGACACTGGAGCAGCTAATTTAGCAGCATTTGCCCCAAATCCCAGATGGCTCAGTGTCATCTATTAGGCACAGCCTTGACATTTCTTGTGCCCTCAGCATCGCTGCAGAATGGTGACTTTTATAACAAAAGCTGTTCTGCTAATCTCCAGCTCTGGCGAGAAAGAAGGTCCCAGCTGCTTTGGGTGAGGGTGGAGAGTCCTCCCAGGGCTGCGGTTTTAATGAGAAATGTAAAACTCGATCAGAGGAGCCGTGAAGTGGCACAGAGCGTGTCTGTCCCTCCCTCTGTCTCCAGTGGCCTTTTTGTTTTATCCTTTAGAAAGGAATAGAAGAATATAGAGACAGATCAAATTAGACTTGGACTTAAAGTACACCATTGTGCCTCTTCCCTTGAAAGAAGCATGTGTTTATATTAAAACGCCTGGGTTCGTCTCTCATTTCTGTCATTAGCTATGTGACCAAGTTAGTCTCTTTGGCCATGTATGTGAAGTGGAGATAAAGCTGCTTATCCATCCCTCTGGAGTTCTGTGTGAAATGGCTGCAAAATATGTTGAAGTGTTCACATGAAAGATATCGCTAGATTTAGCAGAGTAAAATGTAGTAGTCGGTGTCAATACATACTGATCCATCAAAACTTGTTCAGCCTCCTGTAAATCCTTTTGAAACAGCAGCTTGCTTCTCTGTGGATTGGTGTGTTTGCCATATCTGAGACAAACAAGCAAGTAAAGGAAGGGAATTCTGAGGAATTTAATATTACCTGTTACTGCCAAATTGTTTGGTCCCTAGAAGACTTAGCTGATGTCATTGTCATTTTTCACATGGTCAAGTGATGCTTAGTGAAGTTAGGAAATAGAAATGGCAGTCAAAATTGTTATGCCAAAAACATTCAGTTGCCTTTATTTACTTCATAGTAAAGCTGTAGGGTTTGCAGCAATGCCAAGAGAGTAGAGGCCAGAAAATACATGTATAAATGCAAAGTATGTGTATAAAGAAAGAGTAAAGAAAAAAATGAGGAAAAAAGGGAACAAAGTACAGCAAATAAGAACTGTTTGTTTCCAGCTAGTGCTGGATACTGTGGAGGACTAGGAGTTAGGCTGCCGTTACCTAGTAAGTAAAGTGATTGATGGCAGACCAGCTGGGATGCTCAGGTTTTGCTCTGGGATTTGCCACTTGCTCAGGTGAAGCATGTGATCCCACTCCGCGCCGACAGCCTCGGCAGTGGGACTGGCTGTGCTGGGCTGTCAGACACCATGGCTGTATTTCATGTGTGGGGTTCAGCCTCCCAAATAAGAGGGGACTCAAAGGTGTTGAAGTCACAGACCACTTTATTAGGATCTATTTTTAGGCATCTCTTGCAGCTCATGTCATCGTTGTTTCCATCAGTGGCTAATTGCTTGGGCACGTCTGTGCCTGCAGGGCCGGTGTCGGCAGCAGCTTCGCTTTGTGCGGCACTTTGCCTGTGCAATTGCACGGGGACGTTCCCCCGGCCTGAGTAGCTCTGTGTGACACCAGTGGCTTTAATGGAGAGATACTGATTTATACGAGCAGAGGGTCTCTTTTGGGGATTGGCTCTTTTTTTTGAAGTGATTTTTCCAGCATGAAGAGCCTTTCCGTTCCACAAAGGCACAGAGGTTCCTCCCATGCTGTCCTTTGAGTGGGCTTTCTGCCAGATACCAGGCTCCTGCCAGACCTAAGAGCCAGGTACGCTTTGTTATGGAAACTCCATGCAAAGCACCGCCATCACTGCACTGTCACACGGAGCAGCATCTGTAACTCAAAACTCGTTCTCCGAGGGAGGAGCGCCTGTATTTCAGCTTACCGTGCAGTGTGTCTGCAGCGAGGAGATCTGGCTTCAGGGTATTTCAAATAAAGTCAACAGTGCAGCAATAAAAAGAATAAACAGCTTCCATCAGGAGGAATTAGGCTGTCTCAAGAGGCTCAGTGCTCTTTACTGCTCAGCTGCTGTGTCCCTGTTACCCAGTTTCCCCCAGCGGCAGCAGTTTGGGAATGCTACCGGCAGCCCGCAGCACCCGAACCGGTCAGCTCTCCCAGCCGCCAGGGAGGAGGCTCTGGGAAATAGAAAATTCGT